TAGTCACGTGACACACGTGAAATGCGTGATACCGCGTGATACTGTGACACGCCCACCGGGGTATGCCGCGAAATACCTCACCCATTTTGAATGGCTGCATCTGTACCAGGTAGAGGATTTACTTTTTATGAAGGATAAAACAGCAACTGCGCATCTTGGTACTGTGTCATTAGTAAAACCTAAAGCTAGAACAGTTTAGGTTGTATTATATAAACCATTTTCTAAAGCCACTTCACTGTAAATGAATACGCATGTCCTCAAAAAAAAAAACTAAAAAGTAGGCATTTATATAAACATCTGAAGATGGTATGACTGAACTAAGGTAAAATCAGGTCTTGTTGGGTGTGGCATAAATTTCCATTGAATCTAGCAGGTGACTATGAATTTATAAGGCTGCGTACTCAGGACAAAAATGTCTCTCCTACTTGAAAATAAAAAAACATAATAATAATGAAAATAGGTCACTTACAAAAGAACAAAGAAATCAGGACAGGTCAGTTATGTATTTACAAAGACTTAGGTTCTAGTGACCTTGTTTATGTAAGTCAAATATCACTCTAGCCAAATGCATATATAGTATTTTATACTTTGATGGCTGTGGGTTTTGACCCTTTTCTATGAACTTAATAGTTCACATGAATATAATGAGCTAAGCAGTGTTAGAATTGTCATATTAATATTAATAGCAATTATGTAATATGATAATAATCTGCAAAAATAGACTCTGGTTTAAATAGTTCACATTATTTAAGAAAGCTCTATGCAGCTCTAAAAAGTAATCATTTATGTAGAGAATGCCTTGCAAAAGTACTTAGACTCTGGCACAATCTTCACTGTTTTATATACAAGTTAGTCCACACATTCAAAGCAGAAAAACAAAGAGAAAGAAGTAGATAGATAATGTGAAAGAAAAACGGAGATGTCAAAATTGCATAAGTTCTCATGCCATAAGACTGATACTCCATGAGAGATGGGGACATAGAACAAAATAGTAGCAAATCTTAGAGGAAAACCTGTTTTAAATAAAAGAGTCATTTTTCAACAGGCCAAATCTATACCGCAGTGGCTTAAGACTAAGAAAGAAAAAATCCTTAAGTGGTCCAGTCAAAGCCCTGACTTGAATCTTATTGAGAATCTGTGGAAAGACTGAAAACTGCTGTCTAGAAGCAATCCCCAAGAAACACAAGAGAACTTGAGCAAATCTGCAAGAAGGGGCAAAAACTGCAGCAAGCCAGCATGCAAAGGTGGTAGGGATTTATCCAAAATCCCCTGGGGTGGTGCGGTGGTTCTGTGGCTAAGGATCCGCGTCTGTGGTTGGAAGATTGCCGGTTCATATCCTGCAGCCAGCAGAGGAATCCTACTCCGTTGGGCCCCTGAGCAAAGCCCTTACCCCAACTGCTCCTGGGGTGGTGTATAAATGGCTGACCCTGCGCTCTGACCCCAAGTTTATTTCCCTGTCTGTGTGTCTCATGGAGAGCAAGTTGGGGTATGCGTAAAGACAAATTCCTAATACAAAAAATTGTATATGGCCAATAAAGTGATCTGATCTTATCTCATCCTGTAATGGCTGCCAAAGTTAATGGGTATACCCATGTGATTAACACATTTCAGTTAGTTAGCTTTAGCTTTTCCCAGCATTTACTGTAACTTATCTTACCCTTAGAATTATTCAGTTTGAGCATTCAAACTTTTGAAAAAATGTATATGTATCATTGTGCAATTAAAAAAAAATGTGACAACATAGTGTTTGAATACTTTTGCAAGACACTGTATGTATTGACCAAAATTTAAGATTTTATGCAAATTAATCTTTATTAATTTATGAACAGGACCTGCCCAGGTTATGTAGTTAGAGTGTTACTATTTTAATCAAAGTATTTAGCTCAGACTATATACGTCTATGAGTTAGAAGTATTTATAATTACTATCATTAATGTCAAGCAATACAGGAGATTATCCAAAGAAGTCCAAAAACATATACAAAAACTTTTCAGATGAGAGAAGTGGAATCTCTTTGATACTTTCCCTTTCACAATAACTAAAAAGAAAATATAAATCATAATAATGAATAGTAAACCCAACTGTTTTTTATTGTAAAAAAATGAAAAAAACAAGCAAAAAAGAATACAGCAGTCCCTTGAATGTGGTGCTCCTTATGAACATCTGTTTTAGTCTTTAATATGCAGTACCATTAGAAAACTGTGCTGCAGAACAAGCGAACAATTAAAACAATGATTTAATTTAAATATTCTTGAGTAATGCTCACCTATCACTATGTTAATAGGAACTTCAATATCTGAGCAAAAATTTTTTTTCTATTGTGTTACTCAGAATAAATAATGATACACACTTTAGAGTGACAAAAGAGTTACAGAAAAGGGTTTCAATGTTGTACACTATTGTAGAGGCCGGATTACATGATCAACAATAGTTTCGAATTAGAGAAACCCTCATACAAGCACATAGAGTGCAACATCGTTACACCTGCTGTTGGAGAATGACTTTTTAAGGAAGATTAATCAAGTGACATTTCAAAATTTTGAATGAATAGTATTTAATGTTAGTACTCAAAAAAGATCTGGAAAACCACAATTCTTCCTCAAAAAAGATTTGTCCATCTCGCCCTGCATTTATACTTTTAAAAAGGTATCCCCTGTTGAAACAGTAAGACCTACTCTTATACCAAAATATTAGAATAATTTTGTTCTTAGGTGAGGCCTTTTTAATAACATGCAAAGTCTAATCTTATTTAGTCTAAATGTTAAAAAAAAGACTAAACTTATTTATTCTAGCTGGAACACCATACTGACAAGTACCTTTATGGTCATTCACCTTCATTGCAGTCACATGAGCCAACTGTAAAATAAAAATGGCAAGTAGTTGTGCATTCATACATCTAATCAAACTATATTATGCTAACAAAATATAGAATGACTAAGCTTAAAATATATATTGACATTTCATAATAAACACCTTAAGTACTTCTAAGCAATAACCATCTCCTCTTAAAAATCAGATTTAGACGTTAATGGTACCCTCAAATGCGGTGATTTCTCCACACAGGCAATAATATAAAGAGCAGGTATTGTATTTCACACACTTGTACAATATACAAAGCATACACCAGTCTTTATAATTATAACCAATTGGAGAGACCACTTATAATTTACATGTTTTCACAGGAAAGATTTAGAGTATGTGGTAAGTCATACTCTATCATTCACTATATTAGTGAAACAATTCATCTCATATTTGCTTCCAATTGAAGGAGGAGATGGTTATCTGATGAGTGATAAAATAGCCAGTAAGAACTGATTGAACACAGTCCCAACTCTTGTTATTTTAGAAATTGCCACTGCTGATTGGGATTTTATATCATACAAGATAACGGCTATTGTTAAAAAGCTAGCAACAATTATATTTAAAAAAGTATAATGTTACTACATCTATAGTCGTCTATTGACATGCAGCCAATAACTGGAACTAAAAGACTGAAATGGCCCTCAGATTCTCTAATATGAGCCTTTTAATATACTGTACATAGCAATAATGTTATGATACATTCTTAAGCTCACAATTCAATCAGGAATTTTCATAGGTCCCTTCACTTATTTAAACATTTTAAATCCCACTTCATGAATTTCTACCTAAACAAGAGCTCAGTGTTACCGTACATCTGGCAACTCAAGCTGCTGGATTTTGAAAATATTAGCAGACTGCAACAGGCACTTACGGAAACTATTTTCTATTAATTTTAAGACTGACAAAGATTGCAAAGAAAACTAGCTGACAGCTGTTATGTGTCATTTGTCTACAAAAACTACACCTGAAAGCAATTATTTGTATTAATGAGGATTTATAGAAGTAAAACAAAGGCTTGAGTTCTCAAATAACTCTCCATGTGCTAAGAAAAAACTAAAAACAGGGGAAATCATTAACTCATGAAATCATGAAATCCTAAAATCACTTGTGATGTAAAATAATTCCATGTACGTCTTAATCAGGATTGCTGACCTTTAACTTCCAATAACAAAACCTCAGCCTCAGTAACATTTCACTCACAAAATTGATAAGAATCAACAGAAACCAACCCAAGACAAAAATAACCACACACACACACTCTTATATTATAAAGCTAAGTAAGATATAGTTATCACAAATAAATGCGAAAATGTGTACTTAATCAGACGTTATAAAGGTGCTTACCTTTAATAACTGAAGCTGATCAAAGGTCAAATCCTTCACAGGAACTTCAAATAATTCTAATGATTGTTTGTCATTTTTCTGAAAAAAAAAAATACAATGGAAAAAAGGGTTAAAAATGAAAATTAGCATTGCTCCAGAAAGACAATTATGGGCAACCTGTTGGTATTGAAATGTATTCATTCCCCAAGAATACATATTTTGTGAACCTTTCTTTGGCTTTGTTAATGTCAAAGAAACACTTCCTGTTGCCATTTAATATGTTGATGAATATTTGATATTAGAACATATTGTATGATATGCAGAACTTGTACACCAATTCCAGGTTATATAGTTTGTATTTGTGAACCACTTTTATTTCTTTTTATACCTTAGATATTCAACTTAAGACTGTGATGTCCAATCTTGAACACTGGTTTTTACCATTTAATCATTGAGTTTTAGGTATTATTTGTATTATTACCTAATTGTAAAGTCGATCTGTGACTAATCTTGATCTTCTTAACAGAGGAACTTTGGAATCCTTCTGTCCTTTATATTCTAACCAAGATTTTATAATCTGGTTGCAAACAAATCCTAAATCCATTTCTGCTCTCCAAATAAGAAATTATTTTCAACATAAGCTTCCCCTTTTTATGCTAACTCCCGAAAAACATTTGTATATGATCCAACTCATTTGACTTGGGTCCCATTTGACTTGGTAGTTAATTAGTGGTGCCAGGTTTCTGAAGATTTCCAATGTTTGCCCTTAGATTTAAACTAAACCTCCCAAACATGTTTTCTGACACCAGCATTAGGGCACCCTTTTACTGGTGGGGTACCAATCATCACGTTATACTTGATGATGGACCACAGTCAATTCTATGGATTTTTTATAGTGGTCATTAGAATTGTAAATAATCAATTAAATAATCTTTTACATTTTTGGTCAAATTTCCTCATGATAAAGTAGTACTGGGTGTTTAAATTTAAGTGGTAACTGCTTCTGTGCTCCGTTTTCTTACATACCCACTAGAGTTCAAGGTGATCTTCAGAAGTTTCTATAAACATTTTGAGGCCTTCTAACTCTATCTTTAAAGCATTTTAGAAATACTGAAAAGCCCTGATGTAGAGATGTGCATGTTAGTGGGATGTTCATATCAATGACAAGGACTAAACTTTATCAATATTTCTATAAGCATCTTCAGGTTCAGGCTTCTTATAGTAGAATACTCTTCAATTAAATGCAGGAACGAATGATACAATGATACAAGACATGAACAAACACACTCTTCCACGCCTGTCAATAAACACAATGATGTACAGCATAATGAAAAAACGTAAAAAAACATGAAGCAAACGCATTAAAGAGGGAAGTTGTATACTGCTTTTTTAAGGAATGAAGGTCAGATTTCCATTGCTATTTACAGTATGCTAATTGTGCTAAGAGTAAAAATAACTTGCCTGTAAAAGTTTTATTTATCCTCAATGAGGAGATGAACACCTAAGATGCAAAATTAAACGAATTCAAATGCATTACTGTCAGGAACATGACAATAAACAATAAGTTAAAGCTCTTTGTGCCTTGATTTTCATTTGTAAAGATCAAAATTTCACCTTTTTCATTGAAATGCAACAGGTAAGATCATGGTACACAACTGGAATATAATCCTTTGAAAGGTGTACATCAAATTCCACATAGGCAACACCCTGAAAGGGAAACACATATTTAATTAATAACACATAATAATTCAGAAGTTAATAAGTATTTTTTTGAATACGTCAGCTTGGAAACTTTCAGAAAATCATCTTAAAGCAGAAATGAGACAAAGTGTTTTTAATCACAGAAAAAATGCAAAATAAATCACTGCACTTTCAACAATCAAAATGTATCTTAGGAGATAAGCCAGTATCAATGTAGGGATATTAATAATAAATCATAAACTTACATGACTGGCAGCACTTTTGAAGGAAGCAATTGTATTTTCCCTGATTTTTGTATGCCTAAGGGTAAAAAAAAAAGATAAGATATCGTTTTAGAAAATCTTGATGTTAAAAGCTTTATTTCAGACAAAATAAATAACACTTCAAAATACCATTATATAAAAGAGGTAAAAAACCCAGAGGACTCAAATAAAAAAAAAACTGATAAGGTCAAATTATCTTCAGTCCTTGTTTTTTTCCTGCACTAGTGACCTCGTCATTATTCCACGTCAAGCAGGTCTACTGTCTGCTGATTCTAAATCAAACCTGTCAAACTCATATTCCTGAAGACCACAGTGGATTGACCCCCTTCCACCAAAGACCTCACTTTCTTAACTGCTCTGTTTGATGAGTGGGAAAAAGTTAACACTTCCACATGAGTCCTTATTCAGAACTCTCTTAGACAAACTCCCAGCTCCACAACACACAGTGTCTCCTCCAAACAGCTGTAAACTGCTTTAGGGCAAAAGCCCTTCATTGGATAATTCAACAGCATTGGGTGTCCTAGGGTGCTATCTTACTATAACATTCTTACATCAAATAAATCCTTTACAGACACGATCCCGAAAGATGTTTATGGCCAAATCAACATGAATCAACTGTATATTTTCAAAAAGCATAATAATGATCTGGGAAAAAATAGGTGAAACATATCCAAATATCTAAAAATCTGAACAATCGTGGTCAGCAAGAACTCCAATTGGGATGAACATTTTAAGATTCAACAGCTTCTAAGGAATGAGTCTTTCACATCATTGTTTTGGTCTTCCCAGCGGGTGTCCAAAACTCTCATTTAATTATCTCATTTAATGTACTAAAAAACGGGAGGCTTTCTAGGTGTGGATGTAAAATATTTGTGCATAACGTTAAACAAATAATGCAACACTGTTATAATACAATATAAATAAAATCACAGAAACACTTTTAACACCACAAACATATTTTTCTGAACACCAGCTATGAAACATTAACTCTAAACCACACCTTCTATAAAACATAAATTAAGCAAAGCAACTATACTGCAAATATTAAGATTATATAATTTAAGTAATTTCATGATGAATGTACACTCTAAAATATTAAGTAGATTAGTCTGTCCAGCTCTTTATATTAGATTTGCTGTGCTATGAAGTACAGGGTCACCATGACAGGACACACATTAAAACCATAAACTAAGTGTGCCCAAGGTCAACATTTCACAATTCTCCCCTCTGCATGAGAAACTGCATTACAACAAGATTAGTACTAGTTTCCTGTTAATTTGTCCAAATACATTTCCTTAAGACAAAATTAATCATTTACATATACCTTTGTGCTTGAATTAAGTTCAGTGCTTTTTTTTTCCCTGGGATGCTACAAAGCAGGTGCGTTGACCTCACAGTAATCAATAGGCTGTATCATCATCATCTCAGATGAAAGATGATAGAAAAGCAGACTATGAAGGAATGAAACAGTTTAAGTGAAGGATACTGGGATAAAATAAAAAGACGTGGCTGAGAATATATGGATACATTTCAAAAGTATATTGCTTGATAAGAGCAAATTTATCCAAAAATAATCAAAGCAAGCTTTAAAAAGCAGTAACCTAATTGGTGAAATACTACGGCTATAAGCAATATGACAAAGGGGACAAAACCAAAAGAACAATAAAAAGCACACTTAAAGCACCAAAAACCAGATGTTCACAGAAGAGGTAACAAAGGATAAGAAATTGAGAGAAAATAATAATGCTACAGCAGCTGGAAATATTGGGCCACACACACCAGACATGAATAACGCAAGCCATTGGTATTGAAATGGAGTTATACATAACAAATCTGAGGTGAGCTGCAGGAATGAAGCAAACAACAACAAAAGTTCTTTTCTGTGATATTTTTTGTAGAAATTTAAATTGCTTTTATTTCATAGCTACTGTAACTACCAGTTTTTTCATGTTTAAGCTATTCTTTCTGCTGTACTAGCACAGCATGGTTCACAACCAAATAAAATGTTTTATCCATGTGTTTAGATTTAGGTTGCATCATTTGCAAACAATTGCGCACAGCCCTTCATATAATGCCCTTAATACTAGAACAATTTTCCGCATACAACACCAACTAAGCAGTGACAATTAATCCAATACTCAGGCAATTGTTCCTAAACAAGAATTCCTATATACAGGAAATTAGAGGAGAATATAGTAAAGGGTTTCAATTTGGCAATTTCACAGAAGGAAAAATTGTCAGAAATACCAAACTAGTGCCACTAGCAATTACTTTATGAAACATAGGCAACATACATTTTTCGTCAGTGTCTAAGACCTCATCAAAGATTTCTTGAACTATTAAGTCACGTCATTAAAAAGGTTGTTGAATTGACAAGCTACTAGCAATGAAACAAGCAACACAGCACAAAAGGCTTGGTTTGGGTTGTACTCTTGTTTTCTCACTATTACATGCCTTCTTCAACAAACAATGGAAGATTCTCAATGTTTTCATAGCTTCTGCTTTCTTATATTCGTTGATTAAATAGAGTCAAAACTTTAAAACACTATAATATAAAATGTCTTGGACAAAACTGAAACTAATGAAGGGAACTTTTTTTGGTAAGCCTTTTCTTTTTGGCTTCAGAAACACACTGATTCACAACTATAAGGCTGTTACAGTACACAATAATTCTAAATACACCAACAAATCCATGTCCCTAATCTTGCAATTTGCTCAACTATAATAAACAAATATAACAATGCTCTTGTAATCACAATGTATCAATTGGCACAATCCCAATAATGGTAGGAGTAGGAATACACAGTTCTGTCTAAAGTCTAAAGTTTAGTACACATAATGAACTTTAAGAGAGATGTTAAGATTGATAAGTGTACTGTATTTTTAAACAACTTTGATTACTTCAAGGCAATGCTAAATAGTAACACAAATACATCTGTCAGAATTTCCCGATTTATTTTGCTGTACCTGTTCTAATCTAATTACAATGTTGGAAGTTAGATGTGTAGAATTACTTTAGAGGAGTTTCTGCATTAATGTATATGAAAAGAACCCATATAACCACCTTATTCATTTCTCCCTGTAAAGGGAAACAAAACCCTTTAATTTTAGTACAATAAATGCACTTCTACCAGATATTATATCACAAAACATAACTGCCCCGCAGCCTGATCTTGTCAGATTTCAGAGCTAGATCCAGTACAGTGACAGGGAACACTGCTGTAGGAGGTACCTTCCGTGATCCTTGAGATCTTGAACAAAAATCCTGACCATTCGAACATTCAAGATCTCGTGGCACTGTGTATAAGAATTGTGGTATTAACCTTGGAGTCTTAGATAAAATACACTCTCAGGAAAGCCTATAGCAGGTTTTAGGATGATATGAGTTCTCGTTTGTGTAACAGATCTGTTATGTAACAGGGCTGCCAGTGCAGAGCAGATACTGCACTTCAGTTTTGAATTTGTGCCACATCTGTATATGCTTTGGAAGCTTTCAAGATGAAACATTCTTAACATTTCTTAACATTCTCTGGTAGGATGCACTATATTTAATGTGGCAGCTTGTGCTTTTATTTTCTGATTGGTAGACACAATGGCAACCTGAAAAAAGAAGAATTGCATGCAGAGCACTGATTCCCAGCCATGCATTTGAATGGTGCTGACATCAGGCTGATTACTGCCCTCCTAATCTCTTCGTAGGTGCAGCTCATGAAGCACTATGTACCACACTGTGACCTCAAAATCTCACAGACTGAAAAAGATGGCAAAGAAGCTGATGTTCCACCCTGTTAACACTGATAAAGCTAGCCATAACATATTTTTGCATTACTTAACAGTGTAGAGATTGTCAGGTCTTGGATGAAACCTAGCTGCCAAAAGTTTAAGAAAAAAATGAACAGATCAGTGCCCTTCTTTTGTCACGTTAGAACCTCTTCTCAACCAATAACACCCCCACAACCTTATGTCAAAAATAACTTTAGCACCAAAAACAACCAGAAAAACAAAGAAGACAAGTTGGACATACTTAGCAGTGTGTGAACTCCCTGATCCTCTGTGTCCTACATCCAAAGTGCTCCTCTTTTTCCAGTATTTTGTATATGAAGAAATCATATCACACATGAAATCCTTAATTGGTCTAATTACAATGTAGTCCACTAGAAAAAAACAAACAAACAAAAATCAAGGACACACCATTTTGCACAATCTATATTTCACTGAATTCCAGTGATATTTCATCTATGTCAATGTGTCAAAGCTGAATAATATTTAAGACCTGTATTAGACTACCTTGTTCTTTTCAATGTATGTGATACTTCTCACACCTGATTTAGAATGTGATGCTGGATGACAAACTTCTTTATACTGTAGTAGAGTATGTTACAAAATAAATGCAATAATCTGTACCTTGAGACACTGCCATTGAAAGTTTTCAGGTAAACCCTAATATTACTATTTAAATTATAGAAGAATTTGTTAGTGTGAACTTATCCTTTTAATTTGCTATTTTCTTTTAAACATACAAACAGTGAACACATATGTACTGTATGTCTCTACCTAAAGGATTCCCATATTAATTAATAAGTGGCTACCCAGATTATTGCCTTTTTAAATAAAAAAGGACAGAATTCTCCAACACATAATGATCAGACCATTAAAAGTATAATAGAGAAAGGAAGGTTTAAGACAGCAATGAGTTTCTTTCATCTACTGTGTTAATTCTTAATCTTCAGATTTGTTACACACTAAAATTTAAAAACAAACCAGTATTTCAAGAAGTGATCTTGATAACAACAAAAAATAATCATCAGCCTGTTTTATTTTAACCCAGGGATCTCCAGTCTTGGTCCTGTAAGGCCAGTGTGTCTATGGTTTTTCAGTCCAGCTGGGCAGGTTCTTAAATCAGGTTGTTATTGGCTTAACTGGACCAGTGTACCAACTTCTTCCAACTCTTTACGTGCTGGTGCTTTCATTTTACTTGGAAAACCGGGAGACACACTGGCCCTCTAGGAGTTGGACTGGGGACCTTTGCTTAAGACACTCCTTCCTTAAATTTAAACTGGATTCCTAAAAGTGACACCAGGAACATTTTGAATTTTAACTTTTTTTTTTTGTTTAAAGTTTTTCTGTCTCGGCACATGCCTATGAAAATTTTACCTCAAGGTGAACTCAAGCTTTGAAAGCTAGAAATAGCAATGCTATTTAAATTTACCTCTGACTTTTCCGATGGTCTGCCTAGAGTTTCTGCCCATTATAGGAAGCGTGACGATTCCAGTGTCTTTGCCACTTTCCACAAAAGAGGAAGACAATAAACAGGCCGTGCCCACATGACCAGGATGCACATCTCCTTGAACTACTTTCTCACTTAGATCCTCCTACAATGTTAAAACAGAAGGATATCTTCAACTTCCATCACATAACAAGATTAATTAAATATACCGAGTGGCATTAAGGGCATAAATATATATTGGAACTATTATGTACACACGAAAGACCTTAACTACCAATATTTCACCGATTTTGTGACACAGGCAGCTGGATATAGTGGATTGTGAAATGTAAACATTCCAAGATGAGATAACCTCTTACAATGGGACTTTCCAAGTAACCTTCCAAGCTTCCTTCATATCTTTAGACATGGAGATCTGTATGTGAATTGCGAGTACAGTACATGTTAGTCCATAAGGAGACGACTAGCAAAGTTACAGTCACTGCTCGCTTCTATTCTAGCTTATTTTTCTAGTCAGTTCTTAGATTTTGCCATTTTAAATTTTGTAAAGACATTCAAAAATTTGTCTTGCAAAAAGACAAGAACTAGATAAGTTATTTTGCTGAGCTTTCCTAGTTAAAATGTTTCATTCATAGTTATTTTCTTTCAAGTTATGGATCTTCTACAAAGGCACATCTGATGAGATGTATTTCAAGACCAGACTACTAAAACAGCCATCTTAATTTTCTAAAATGAAGAGTGTAAAGATTTTCATAATTTCTGTGAAGCAATTCTAGTCCAAGAACTAAATGATTTTGTCATTGACTTTCCAAATCAAATAGTGATGTTTTCCCTACACAAACCATACTGAGTATATATTCAGATGACCTTAAAGGCAACCAACCACTAAGGATAATTATCTAAAAGGAGAGCTGCAAGAAAGGTTTTGAAAGGGGATCCGAGTGAAACAGTTTCACCAGGGTAAGGCAATGTATTCACTATAACTGGGCTGAGAATTAAAATCTCACTACTTCTGAATACAAAGTGTGTTCACTGATACCATCTAGTATCTTTGACAAATTATTCCATGTGCTAAGGGTGAATATTTGTACAACCCGATAGTATTTGCACAACCTGATATGACTACAATGATGAAGCCAGGCTGCGTGTGCATTAAACAAATATGTTGGTGATTCAAAACACAAAAAATGACTTACCTCGAAGAACTCAAAGGTTAGCTCCAAGTTGTCTGGGTCCATGGTATGAATACTGTACTCTGTCCATTGGCTTGGCTCTAGTGCATACCCACAATCTGGCTGAGAATGACGGGATTTATACCCATTACTGCTGATCAGACTGATCTCCAGTGTGGTTGTCATTTTGTTCCAAGAGGTAGGACTCTGCTCATCTTCATCATCTTCCTCAAAGCCCTCCAATGTCAGTTTCAGCCTGGACCAAGTGTAGAAAGAAAATGCCACACATTCTAAAACTATACATCTTAAAACATTAAAGCCAGATATACTCAGTTTGAGTACAACTAACCCATGTTATTGAAGGAGATACCCTCCTTTTTTCCTAGAAATGTCTGGATGAAATCCATGGATCAATTAGCAACAGAAGAACCAAACAAGCTAAATGGGTCAAATAGTCCCATTTCATTTGTAACTACTGTATATTTGTGCTCTAAAAAGAAAGAAAATGAGCCTATTCTGTTAAACTGAAAAAAGTTTTTTATGGAAAATTAATTTGTAAATTATAAAAAGTAATGGAAACATTAAATTGATAACTTCTATCATTTAAAAATTATAATTTATGGAAAAATGACAATTTATAACTAGCTCTCTAGGCATGCATTTTTGGGTTTTTATGTGTGAACAAATACGAAGCACGCATAACTTTTAAAAACACATTAAAACTTGCATCACATTTGTCGCTCAGTATAGTATGTTAGGGTGTATAACCTAGTTTAACCTTTAACCAGTATAACCTGTTCTAGCACACAAAATACACAATTTGCATCCATTTGCAAAAGAATACCACAAATTGTTCCTGGACAATGTCAATTTATACTAGGTACAACTGTTTGATCATTTAAAGCTGGCACAAACCATTTTACCTGAATCTTGATTTTTTAAACTTCTTTTTTGTAATAAATAGTGGAGATTTCTCAGAATAATGAAGGCGAAGGCGAATTTCCGTCTGACATGTCAGCCACCCAGAATCTACACACTCCATGTCATCTATAATAAAAATACATTTTAGGAAAATAAAAGCACTTCAAAGAATAGTTTATCTCACTTTGATTGCAGTTTATTGTTGTACATTAGAGTGCCTTTCAAAACTATTCAGACCCTTGCAGTGTATAGAATTTGTAGTTTTAATTTATAGTCATGGCACTCTGAAGTTGCAATTACTATCCATTATATACTGTACACAACCAACTCCACATATTAAAAGCAATAATAATAATAATCTATTTTTTAACCATTTCTTCCAATTCAGGGTGTGGTGGGGCCAGAGCCGATATCAGCAGGCAACGCAAGCAAGGCAGGATACACCCTTGTCACAGTCTCCTCCTTGCAGAGTTTAGAGGCGTAGATAGAATATAACAATAACGATGGCACAGCCACAAATGCAAAGATGTGCAATGGTGTTTATTACAAGGAACTGTTTCCAAACTAACCAGGAAAAAATAAAACACAAAGCTATAGTACAATAGTATATACATTAATTACTATAGGAAATTTGATTGTTGTAGGCAGCTCCTATTCTACCCCACAATCCACTTTCTCCTATCTCCCCTCTTATCTTGAAGAGCTCCTTTTCTAGGTTAAACTCCTCCCCCTAGAATATTCCACTATAAAGCAAAAAATAATTTACTAAATAATAATCAGAATTCTGATATGCACAATTCTCCATGAAGTACACAATTAAACAATGAACATATTATTACCAAAAATAAAATATCATACTCCTTTTATGTACATAACTGTTAAGAAAATACTACCCCTTTTAAATGGTATCTTTGTACAAATCAATCCATGCATGCGCAATCCTGAAACAGGCACTACTAAGCCAACCCCTGTTGCCATGCCAAAGATTGGGTCCTACAGGTTTGCAGGAGAAATCATTTTGCCGGTGAGAAATCCAAACAGCTTATTTAATGGAAACACGTGAGTTGATTTGGTTCATTTCACTTCAAAAACAAAGGAAAACTGGTGTTTGGCTTGTGTTAATGTTTAATTTTGGATAATACGGAATCTCCAGTCACACCCTAGATAGGATGCCAGTCCATTGCAGGGCACACACTCACACCAGGGCCAGTTTTCACAGAAGCCAATTAACCTATTCATATGTTTTTGTACTGTAGTAGACAACCAGAACACCCGAGAGAAACCACGCGAGAAAGGGGAGAATATAAAAACTCCACACAGAAAGCACCCAAGGTCTGGTATTGAATGCAGGACCCCAGCGCTGCAAGGTAGCAATGCTAACCATTAAGCTACCATGCCACCCTTAAGAAATAATTAAATAGATAATTAATTTAAAAGAAAGTCACGATAAAGTCATGATGCTACAAAATATTCAAACACTTTGCTATAGCAAATCCTAATTAAATTATAGTAGGTGCAAAAAATTACCCTAACAAACCCTCAGAATTTCAAGCAAGAATTAAACCATGACAGCCAGAGATCAAAACAATTAAGAGAAAGTAAGAAGTGGAATCTGTATCATACAAATCAGAAACTACCTAAATCAGGCTGTCCTTCTAAACTGAACAACCAGGCAAGGAGAAAACTGGTTTGACATGCCACTTTAAGGCTAACACCAACTTTGAAAGATTTCAGTGGCTGAGATGGAATAAAAGGTCAACAACTTGACAGTCATTCCACTAAGCAGGCCCATATGGCAGAGTGGAAAACTCGTCTCAAGTTTGCAACAAAACATTTAAGTGATACTGTAAACATGTGGAAATATGTTTTGTGGTCAGACAAAATTAGAACTTACTGCTGAAAACAAAAGCGTTACATCTAATACAGTGCATCACTCAGTCAACACTATCTTGTTGGTGTGAGCCTGGTCAGTACCTGGATGGGAGACCTCCTGGGAAAAACTAAGGTTGGTGCTGGAAGAGGTGTTAGTGGGGCCAGCAGGGTTTGCTCACCCTGCGGTCCATGTGGGTCCTAATGCCCCAGTATAGTGACGGGGACACTATACTGTAAACAGGCGCCGTCCTTCGGATGAGACGTAAAACCGAGGTCCTGACTCTCTGTGGTCATTAAAAATCCCAGGGTGTTTCTCGAAAAGAGTAGGGGTGTAACCCCGGCGTCCTGGCCAAATTTCCCATTGGCCTTTACCAATCATGGCCTCCTAATAATCCCCCTCTATGAATTGGCTTAATTACTCTGCTCTCCTCCTCACTGATAGCTGGTGTTTGGTGAGCGTTCTGGCGCACTATGGCTGCTGTCGCATCATCCAGGTGGATGCTGCACATTGGTGGTGCTGGAGGGGAGTCCCCATTACCTGTGAAGCGCTTTGAGTGGAGTGTCCAGAAAAGCGCTATATAAGTGTAAGCACTTATTATTATAATTCATTATTATTATCTTTACTGACACATACAGTATGGTGGTGGCAGCATTATGTTTTAATAATTGCAGAGCTGTCAAGACTGATAGGGACATAAGTACTAGTATTAAATACTAGAAAACAAGATTTAGACCTACAATTGGGATAAAAAATGCCCCTTTCTGTGTGAGCAAATAAGTTTTGAATAAAATATTAAGTTTAAACTTTTTATATGCATAATTTTGTAATATCATGAATTGGTGCACCATAGGGAAGTTTGCATCCTAATGTGAAGGTATTGGATATAAACAAAGAAATGGTTGCAGGATATTGTTGCTTTGGGTTGAATGTATGAAGTGCTCACAATGTACTCCTTATTACAGTAATTAAAACTTTAACAATATTAGTATTGTACATCAAGAGGACATATGTTTTTCTTAGCCTGAAACAAAGTATGTCTGAATTAAGAATCATCTTTTTTAATTCCTGTACAGTATAATATTTAAACAAATTAAACATGATATTGCAATATACCTCCAAAAGTTAAAATAGGTAGCTACATCAGCATGGGTAGGTTTATTCCATGCTGAAAAAAAAGAAACAATATTTTGGCTGTGGAGCCTTCTCCAGGTTTATTTCAGCATGGATTAAACCTTTACCTCTTCCTTTGCTACCTCCAGAAGTTGATATAAATTATACCTAAATAAGCAATACTAGTCTGCCATTCATATAAAAGCACAAGGTTAAGATGACAGATAAGATACTTTTCCAATCACACTTATGCAATACTTACTGTAAAAACCAAAATGTCCATCATCGACTACTAGCTCCAGTTCTGAAATGTAAGAAATGTAAGATAATAATACCCAATTAATATTAGAATAATCTGAAGTAAAGGAAAGAAAGACAAACATAGCAGAGCATTTGCATTTATAAATGTTAGCTTTTGGGATAAAATATAAAATATTTAAAGTAACTAAGGGTACATTGTATTACAAAACATTTGCCTCAATTGAGTGTTGTCTATAACACAGGCTGCTTTGCCATATTAAAATGAGAAGCCTTGACAAACACAAAAACAGAGCAAACAGAAACATGCCCAAATCTGGTTGCTTGCCTTTATGAATTGCACAGAGCCCAAAGCCAATGACCACGCAAAAAAACATTACATATGTATTTCACTGGCATGACTGCTGCCATCACAAGTCTGCATATTATCAGCCCACTTACTTTTAAATTACATTTGGATTGAGGTTTTCTCGACTGTCTATAAAAAAGAGGTTACCAGTGGCAGTCATATGTTTTATACTGATAATCTCTTTTATTAATTAAAATAAATGTTTTCAAGGGCATACTATCACAATAAAAATAAGTTCCATAAGTATTTTGTAAGATTAATTTACTGACAATTAATTCAGATTTTTCCAGACAGCAACAATAAAAATATGAAATAACCATGAAACAGACTTCCTAGGAGGCACGTAATGAAGTGTACAACGTACTTGACTGACAGCCAGCATCAAAGGCAACAGTTAAGGTCAATAATCAGGACTTAAATTGTATTACAATGTTTGACTTTTATGTTTACAGTAAAGTAAAAAAAAAATTGGTGATGCTTTTTTTGTTATTTCCCATTTGTAGTGCGCAAAATAAAACTCACAGTGATCAAAACCCAAGCTTGCTTTAATAAACAAAAGAAGCCAAGGCCTGCATTAGACTTTAATTAAAACTTTTTGAAGACATGATTGTCATAAAGAAAACCACAGCAAGCAGAAGTAAGAAACTGCAAGGTATTTAAGCCATTACTATTATTATTGTAACAAATCAAGACTTGCCTTTTTGCAGGATGCAAGATAAATGTTGACCTATTTGCTGTAAAAGATTGAGTATAAACACCTTCTGAATACAAGTCTATCACTTAATACTACTCAGAAACTGAATACAACTTAGAGGTACTTAAAGGCATCTAGAGTAATGGTGATCCATAGATCCCTTTTCTACATTCATTTACCAAACGACTTCAGTATTAGTTTTCAGAAAAAAAAATGTTAATTGAGACCACAGACAAACTTTTTTTTTTTTAAACTGAACTGTTCCAGAAAAGACGATTTGCAAACAAGAGATGCACCAAAAACAAAGTTGAAGAGATGTCTGGATTTGCAGTTCTGCTAAATCTGTGGACTAAATTAAAACCCTAAATTCTGAATTGGGGACATAATTACTTTATTTTAGTGTACGTACATAATTACTTTATTTTGGTTTCAAACACAGGTCACCTTCAACAGTTTGTTGAAGGTTAATGATATATCTAGAGGTTATAGTAAACATTTTGAATTTAGACGTGTATCTCAGTGCCTGCAGAAAAGGAAGTGCAAGTGGAAATAACACAAGCATCTGTTATTTAAGTAAACTTTGATTTTTTAAAAGTCAAATACAAAAATAAAAAAGGTAAATATTTTGTTTTTTATATTCACTTTATTCATATTAATATATAGCATTGTGTAAATATTAAAGATAAGAAAAGTAAAACCCTCTAATTAAGTAAGGTTTAAAGAACAAGCTCCATTTATCACTGTTTGTGAAAGAGATTCTGGAATAAATTTATGCTAATTTTTAGTATACTGAGCATCAAAAGAAACATCACTTACAACAGCAAAAGAAAAAGTTAGGCAGGACTTTTTATTGAACAGGTATCATAGGCAAATTATCATTTATCAATTGTTAATTATCATCAGCAAAAGGTAGACTGTTAAAATCACAGACTTGCAGCACACTGTAAATAGAAGAGCAATAGAACAGAATATAAGAAGCAACATAGGTTGTAGATACCACAGTATATGCAGGATTCCTCTTGCACAGCTTCCACAAGCATGTGGCTGTTTACTGTTTTTCAATCCCTAGATAACACGTCATCCTACCTCATCGCACTAATGTTCACTGGGGCTCAGAACTGACAAATAGGGCATCCACAATGTAACCGACACATTCTCACCATGCAAGAAAAAACATCTGTTACATAAGCAAATATGTAACATCCTGCTGGAATGTTTTAATATCTGTTCTATCCATGAAGGTAGCATGGGAGGCCACAGGACTTCCGTCAGTGTAGAGGCATGTAGTCATGCTGGCATCAGTCACCACAAGTGGAGTTCTTTATAGTCTGTAGTTATTACATTTGGACCTCCCTATTGATCTTGGACTGGTGTCATGACTTTTAGTCTCCTGCTGACCCATGGCCTAATGTTGACAGACTGAGTTTGGGTTTATCATCCTTCCAGGTTAGAAATTACTGGCAGCAAACATCTTAGATGGCAAGCAACAGTGTGCTCACCTATTTCAGTTTTTGACATACTGAAAACACAAAAAGATTAATTTCTTCTTTGGTATATCGGTTCCTTTCTGTGATCTTATTTCTTGATTTTTTGCCAGCCTGACATTAAACAGGTTCAATCACCTGGGACCGAAATGCCATCAAAAACATGTAATGAACATCCATATCTTTATTATTTATTCTTCTAAAAACAAGCATTCATAGAATGATCAGGATTATTTTGATGCTCAGTATATGTATTGACACAGCTGATGTTGTGATGTCTGTTACTGGGTAGTCGAAGCAAATCAAAACTATTTCAGCACTAAATATGATACTTTTACATATATGTATTAAGTATTTAAGTGTGTATTTAATGTATTCTTTAACAATTATAACTAACATTTTAAAATATTTTTTCTGTTTTCTATGGTAATAAACAACTGCACAAATAGAGGCTTTTTTCAAGTACTCCCACATCCACTCCTTAGAAATTCCAGCAAAACCATAAACGTGTCATACACTTTATCAAAACCATGCAATTTGTATATACCTGAAGTGTTCAATGCTCGTGGATGTTGATGGGTCTCCCACTTACTGACTATCACTTGACATGGATCACCTGCATTCTGCAATTCCAATGTCAAACATGTTAATGATAAAAATCAATATTCATTCTTAAGCAACATAAAATGTTCTAACAAAATCTGAGCTCTAACATTTACCAATCCATCAGCTGGTCAGCCACACAAAACTTAGATTGGAAAACTTGATTAATAATTAGGTAATATATTTCCATTTCAAGAAATGTAATGCAAAAAAATCACTTTAATCACACTTTAATTTAGGGTTGAAAAATTAAACCAATTGAAAAATTAGACTTTCTTAACGGTTACATCAGTTCTGTCACATTTCTAAAAACAAATACAACATTTTAAAATATATTTAAGCATATTATTTGCTACATTTAAAACATTCCATTTATAAATATATATGTACGGTTCATCAAAACAATAACTGCCCCCTTTACATCTTCTGCATTTTTGTACTTTTTTGCCATTGAATTTGAACAGACTTTCAAGGGGGTCCTAGTACTATATAAAAGAAGTCCGGGTGAACAAATAACACCAACAACTTTGCTGCTAGTTTCATGTATTTCATAACCAAAATCATCTAACATGCAAAGTTCCGGTGTGCCAAAGTTAACACCCTCTTAGGTTCAGTATATAGTTGCACCACTTTTAGCTGCAATAACTATAACTAAACCCACCCCGTAATTGGTGATCAGTCTCTCACATCGCTGTGTAAGAATTTGGGCCATTCCTTTATGACAAGCTGCTTCAACTCAGTAACATGAGGGTTTTCTAGCATTTCGAAAATTTGAAAAGGGATGAACACTTTTTCACTGCATAAATGGTCACCTAATTGCAAGCAGCTATATCATCCTGCAACTCACAAGTGGTAACCCATTGAAGCTGAGCAGGCGTGAGCCTGGCCAGTACCTGGATGGCAGACCTCTAAGGTTGCCACAAGAAGAGGTGTTAGTGGGACCAGGTGTTAGGAACACATAGTGTTGGTTCTAATGCCCAAGTGTAGTAACGGGGACACAATACTGTACAAAAGGTGCCATTCCTCGAATGAGATGTAAAATCAAGGTCCTGACTCTGCCCTTTATCAGTCATGGCCTCCTAATAATCCCCATCTTTGAAATGACCATACAACTGTGCTCTCCTCTCCATTGACAGCTGATGTGTGGTGAGCATAATGGCACAGTTTGGCTGCCATCGCATCATCCAAGTGGGGGCTACACATTTGTGGTGATTAGGCCAATTAATTGCTTTCAGTGGAGGTTTCAGGAAAATGGGATAATAATAATGCGTTACCAAAATCTTGCTCCCCAATTTGCTACATCTGGACTTAATTCACGCCACTATTTCTCAGGGCCAAGGCTACCTCTGTGATCAATAATGAAGATTTTGGGTATGTGTGGTACTCCATATTATGCCATAAGTTACAGTGTGAGAATCAAGGCAGCTTTCTTTGAGTCTGCCATACACTGCCATGGCAAGCATATTAAGCAGCCAGATGGTGAGGCTGGGTAAAGATTTAAATTATTTCATTTTCTATATGAGCTCTACTACTGAGAACAAAAGACAATTACCATTTTCAGTTCAAAGTTGACTGAAAAGGGGACAAATTTCATCACCTGCACACATTTTTACCCTGTTTGAAACTTATGAAGGTTAACCTTTCCATGCCTGGATCAGATGCTAAAATTATATGTGAATTCCAAGAATTTCTAGGGTGCAGAAAAAGGAACAAATCCTCCACCCATTTTCCAACTGCTTTATCCAAAAGGGGAGCGAGAGCCATTCCTGGCAATCAACAGGTGCAAAGCAGAATACACATACATATTCGCGTGGGTTTGCTCTCACAGTCCAAACACATACTGGTAAGTTAATTGGCTTCTGGGAAAATTGGACCTGGAGTGAGTGTGTGGGTATTTCTGTCTGTGTGTCTGCCCTGCCATGGACTTGCATACTGTTTTGGGTTTATCCTGCCTTGTGCCTGTTGCTTGCTTGGGTAAGCTCTGGTTCTCCTGCAGTTTTGTATTGGACAGTGTGGTTAGAAGATGGATGGGTATGTGCACCTTTTAATAATTAAGACTAACTTTTATGTGCTTACCCCCTCTCACCTAAAATAAAAATAAAAATAAAACTACAATGAGAGTGTAAGTCAAAGTACAGTAATGTTCTATATAATCTTAATTGTGTTGACAATGAATAAATAACTCACCTTGGATTCTAGGAAAAAGCCTTTAAAATAGCGATAATTAGAGAGGGTCCCTTCTGGAATACTGACTGTTCTTTTCCACAAAGTTCTGTTGGAAGCAAACAAATAACTTCCAATTAATATAAAGTAAAAAAGAAAACAAAACAAAAAAAGTATTCAAAAAATGAACTAAAAGAGTGACTTGGATCAAAGGCTTACATGCACACAGAGTATACCTGCTAGACTGAGACAGAGCTAGATCACTAACTGACTGTGACCAGAGTTCCTGTAGACACTGTGGGGGACTTGAGACAGCCAGGATATTCTGGACTGGCTGCACAACAGCAAGTGTGACCTGTGACTTGCCGGGCTGTCAACAGCAACCACACCCCTGCTCTAGTCCATGTCTGTAAGGTGTCTGATACAACTGAAGTACAAAAATGAATACCACATTTGGAGCAAAGCACACATGATAAGGTACAAGGGTCACAGCATTAAATATTGATAAGTTATGGTTTGTGAAATTCACATTTAGAGGCTACAAAAAACGTGACAAGAAAAATATAAAAAGAAAAATAGAAGATTTGGAGATTCCAAAATAAAATGAGCTCTCAGCAATCAAAGATACATGTTCACTAGCTGGAAGTAGTTAAGACAGCTGCCTTCAGTGTGATATGCAAGGTATCAATGTTCTATCTAGAGATACTCTTAGTAACAAACTGGAAATATATGAATTAACAAACATTTAAAAAGCAACAGTGTTAGATAAATATTAACAGGAGATTCTTTTTTTAAACTGTTCTTAGATGGACATTTACCCATCATCCTCATCAGGCAGCAGAGTCACCGCTTTCTGTGGACACCAACCCCCAAGAGTCCCACAGCTGCCAACCACTGCTATAAATTCACCTGGGGAAATAAAAAAATCAAAGTATTTAGCTTTATTTGTGGTTAATGTGTAAAAATTAGTAAAGAAAAAGCAACCAAATGGCATGCCATTCTAAATCACTAAAATACTCAGATAAAAAAAAAAGCCTGTAAAAATCTAAATGAGACCATGTCTAGGACATATTGCAAGAAATAAAAGACAAAAGGGAAAACAAAATAGTTACAGTAACTTTTGACCTGAATTTTTTAAGTGGCTGGTGCAGCTGTTCATCATACACTATTAACAGCGCACTTATCTTTTAAGATTATATTTTTGCTTTCAGTACCAGAAATGGGATGCATTCTGTTTTGACTAGTAATGATACATCTATTTTAAACATTGTTTGAATGCCTTTATTGTTGTTCATCATGGTACAAAAAATATAATAGTCTAAACAATGAATCTATAATCTATCAATCACAATTTAAAAACAGTCAAGTCAAGTCAGAACAACCTGGATCATAGTATTATTTACCTAAACCACGGTAGGGCTGTAAAGACAGAGGCTTGCAAACAAAACCAACACTGTACCTACAGTATAACATCTTTATAAGCATCTATTAACCTGTTCGGGCCCTGTTCGGGCACTTGATTTGTGGGCGGAGTGGTGGCTCTGTGGCTGGAAGGTTGCCGGGTCAAATCTTGCGGCTTGCAGAGGAATCCTACTCCGTTGGGTCCCTGAGCAAGGCCCTTAACCCCAGCTGCTCCAGGGGCGCCATATTAATGGCTGACCCTGCGTTCTGATCCCAAGCTTCTCTCCCCATCTGAGTGTATGTCTCATGGTATGAAAATTAAATTCCTAATGCAAGAAATTGTATATGGCTAATAAAGTGATCTTATCTTATCTTGCCAGAAAACCACTTTCTGGTAAGGATCAAGCACCCTGAAGCCTGTCAAAGAATCATGGCACACAAACTGGGACATCAGTCCACTGTAGAGCAAACACTGCAAATATGGAAAGATTGGAGACACTAATTAACCTATCTAGCATGCCGTGGGAGGAAGTAGGAGATAACTGAAGCACCTAGACAAAAATGTAGTAAACCGGGCTGAGAATATATAAACTTGTTGTAAAAGGCACTCAAGAGCTGAGAGACACTGGAAGTAATCACCATATGCTGCCACATAACTTTTAAGCATTTTTTTATTTGGTGAATTGCTAACTAATGTTCTAATAGGTGCAAAATAATATGATGAACAAAGCACAAATCTCTCTATAAATACTGTACTTCCAAAAACAATTATGCATTATCCTCATTCTGTGGCTCTACTCAGTCTAGCTAAATCTGGGTTTGAAAAATAGTTTGGATTCCACTCCCAGCAGTATGTAACATTTAATGTCTACACTTTCAGAAAATATTCCCTCAAGGACCAAAAACTAGTGCTCCTACCTGGAGATGTTGCTCCCCTTACTGTAAAGGTGACTTGACAGTAGTCCATGTCTACAGGTGAAATGCAAATCTGGAGAAAAGCTGAAGGCACCTGTAGAACCAATTAATTTGTGTTAACTTGGATTTGTTAAAAATATACCAATGAAAATATACCAGCATGAAAAAGCATTTGTGTGATAAAAAAAGCACGAGAGACAATTTTGTTAACTTTTTTTTCACTTGCTTAATTTACTGTTTTTATACTTAAAATCTTGAATTCCCGTAAGAGGCTAGTTGGGAGGTTTTAGAAGGGTTATAGGATACAATTTGAATAAACACGAATTTGGCTTTACGCGGTACTCAAAATCTTTCACCCCCACATAAATTGCGTGTCAACCCTATAATAAAAATTACTGAGGGCTCAATTTTCCTCATCTATTTCATTAAAAAAACACATAACATACCAGAATGAGTTAGGGACTGAATAATGTGTCTCACTTAAAAAAAATCTTATAATGATATACTGTAATCATAATAGCACTGCGCAGTGCAATATTGTACATCATAAATAACTGAATTCCAGCAAAAACAGAAGTGTGAAAAAATGTGTCTCTCTTAAGTATTCCTTTATTTAAAAAAAAGTAACAAAGCATATATATAATAATACTCAAGAAAACAATGAATCTATCACTTTCTACTGGAGAGCCCATTATTAGTCATTTTAAACCTACTGCTAGTGTGTTCTAGTTCTGGTGCCACACCAAGCAGTGACACAAGTGAACGAGTGACATCTGCATGTATTCATAGTTCAGCTACAATGATAACACTTCTTCTGAAGCCATAACCACAGAAAGAAGTGAGACTCAACCATCTTTTGAATAACAACTGAAACAATCTTCAACTCAGATTTACTAAAAACTAAGCTTTATGGACATGCTCATCTGCATTATGTATGACATAAAAAAAATAATCTTAAATAGGAAAAAACATATATGCCCACTGAGAAATATTTTGGGGAAAAAACTTTATGCTTTGGAGTTGTTTTGCATCTGCAGGTCAAGATCATGTTGAAATAATGAATTCCAAAACACTTTGACTAATCAATAATGCCATAGACTAGCCAGGAGATTTCCACCAATCACCTGGTTCTGTCAAATACAGAGGTCACTCCTTTCTAAACCTTTGGCCAAAGGCAAACTTAGCACAAAGGTGTCTTTAGCATTAGCCCTCCACTGGTAAAACAGAAGAAACCATTTACCATTGGAGAAGTAAAGGAGGCAATGACAGTGGTTGCTGACACTTTGTTCAATGACTTTAAAAATGTTAAAAATGATTAAATCACAACAGCCAACAAGAATGCGCTGTTTGGCATTTCAGCAGTCACTATAGGCGATAACAGATGTCATTTCAGGCTTTATTGCACTTACTGTAGGAAAACATCATTCTGAATGTTCATCTTATATCAATTACCACTGTGTTATGCAGTATACCATATCAACAACATTTAGATCTGATGCCTGAAATTGTCACCTTTGTAAATTCAAGAATAACCTTACAGTATATCTTTGGACTGTGGAAAGAGACCGGAGCACCCAGAGGAAATCTAAGTGAACACAGGGAGAACATAAAAACTCCACACAGGTAGCACTGAGGTCTGGAATAGAACCCAGGGCCAATGTTAACCACCGTGGCTCGCCTAATGGAAATCATCAAGTGCAAATGTAGCACTTGCCTTGCAGATCAGACGTTCATCTGATGGGCTCTCTGAGACTGGCCATGTCAAACTAAGACACCGACTTCAAAGCATTCTCTGTTCAATCACAGGTGAGTGTTACACATAAACAGCTTTGGGTTTGGAATAAATCGCATTTTTAAAAGGTTGCATTTCGATTCTAAAAGTGATCTTCAAGTCTTAAAAAAGGCTTGAGACCGCCGATGCAGGAAATGAAAGGCTGTAAAGTCAATTGAAGGTCTACAGTTGTACTACGTAAAAACGCTATGTAAGCGGAACACATACTTGTCAGAAGCAGTAAAACTGAAATGTTAGCTGCATTTTATTAAACATTTTCTTAATTTGCACCTCACTGCTTTATGCCAACAGTGTTACACAGATGGAAAAAAATTGTACTCAAAATCTTTTCACGGCAACAAAAGTGTTTTGTTACCGTCTAAAAGTAAAATAGTACTAAAAAAAACTATCGACTCTAGTCGCTTGAATAGATAATGGGCACACCCATTAACTTCAGTCCCAATTCCTGATGCCAAAATTAATTAAATTTCAACTATGGTATTCAATTTTATAACACTGGTATGTACAGAATTAAGCAGTATTTTCACATCTGCAGGGACAGAAGACGATTTTATTCTCTTTCGCAGTCCCAACTGCAGCAGCTAATTCGGGACGGCCTCACTCCATCATTTGGTAATAAGGCAAATGCCTGAAACAAATTTAAAATAAATGTTCCTAGAAATCCACTAACGAGACGGATACTGTAACTGGCTATTCTGCTAGTGCAATGCAGTCAGCTCAGGCCACACAAATCATGTGCTTTGCGTTTTACTGAACCCAGTGACCCCATCTTTACTGGCAACTGCCCCGGGACATACAGCAGGGAATCCCATTAAAAGTTAAGTGTCATTTACAGCTGACCTTCCTTTAAAACAATCCAAAACATGAACAGATGGTTGGAGTGTGCACTAGGTTTTAACAACAGCAGCGTTTCTCTCGATCTTGAGATTGACTTGCTAATGCAATGTGTCCAAACCGCCTCGAGCCGGATTCAATGACAATAGAGTAGCGTGGTGGAAACAGGATTCAAAAATTAAAACACTGAAGCTGTCATCGACAGCCAACAAAAACACATGTATCGAGTGGGAATTCTCAAACGCTTACCTTCTGTCAAATCATGAACACTACCGGCCCGCACCCTGCGATAAGAACACGATTCTGTCATCCCAGCAGCATAGCTTTCGATTTAGCAGTCCTGTCAACAACGTTATCCCCGCCTCAGCAGCTGCTGATTCGTTCATGTTTTTTGTGCTGATTAGCGATTGGTCAATTATATATATATATGTTTTGTTCTTTTGCTGCTATGACACAGGTGGGTTTGACGTAACTTCCCATTGTTAGATTCAGTTCTCAGACCGGCTGGAGTGAAGAGTAGAGTTGAGACTAATACCTGAAGGACAGAAACCCTGGACATTTAGCAACTCTCATCACCAAACACACTTTAAAGTTAGAACGCAGAACAAATGGTTAAGGCCCAAAAAGAACAGATGAAAGGTCTGACCCTTTAAAGAACTATTTATGTTACCTTGTATGGTTCTATTAATCCACTGAATCCAGTTGTCCAATGTTATCTGTGCATCCCAATGAATAACTGCATTTCTTTTTGCAGATCAGAGATCAATATTTTTCTCACAACCAACAACTTAAATATTTGCATGTCTTTCATTATTTCTCCTCAATTATTTACTCCTTTATAAATTGGTGTTTAAAATATTTTGTGCTAAGTTTTATAACTGCTGTATACATTTGCATGTAAGACATTTTCTCTTCACAGTCCTCATGCTTTCATCAAAACATTGAAAATGTAATTTTTGACTAGACAGGTTGGTACATATGTACCTGTATGTAACACAAGTTCAAATCAAGTTTGAAGTCTTGATTTTTTATTACTATAAAACTGCTAACATAAATAATGCTGTAATATGGATTTGTGACAGCAGCAGCAGAGTTAGCGACTCGTTATAGTCACTAGAAGGCGAATTACAATGTAGAAAATGCAAATGAAAAATGTAGAAAGTCTGTTTATATTAAATAAATATAATGCTTTTACTTTAATCAACTGTGTATTTTAATCCGTGGTTTTTCATGCTGTCTGTGGTTACAGCTCGATGTTTTTTGCTGGGTCATCTGTAGTCCCCTGCTGTCACTGCAAGATGTGGCCTCTTGCGAGACAATTGTCTTTTCAGTCACCGTTTTCCCCCATACTTTACATACAATGTGTTTTCTTCTCTGTTCCTGGCTCTGTCTAGATGATCGTCGTCTTTATGTACAGTATTTACTAGTAATGTTTCATCTTTGTAGATGTGCATATAATGTTTGTTTTTTTCAGGCAAAACTGCAAGGGTCTCTCAAACGCATTGCAACATTAAATGTAAAGTACATAAACTAAGATTAAACTGTACGTAAGCCTTCGACACCTTCTGCAGTATAATATTATACTATACTATATATATTAAACATTATTATAATATTTTTGCAAGACTCATTACATTACCTTTTTGGAAACAACAAAAGGAAACAAATTAGGTTACTTTTATAACAAGTTCTATAGTTTTATTTACATTGTTATTTATGTAAAATTGATACTATTCCTCCCACCAGCAATGCAGGTTATGCTTGATTGACTAGACTTTAAGTGCACCTTTCTGGATCGGGAAGATTTCATTTTAATAATTGAGGTGTTAGGGTAGCTCCCAGTACCAGCCATACTGCCAAGGGAATTATATTTAGAAGCAAATGAGCATGGTGGACCAAATGATCCCCTTTCATTTCTAGCCATCCTGATGTGCTGATTTTGTCAGTTACACCTGGGATTCTCAACATCTAAACATAAAGGTATGTATCTTTATAGTTTTTTATCGTTTAAAAATGTTCTTAGCAAAAGTATACAGACTCCAGGCTTACTTTGTATGATCTGTGTAAAGAATATTCTGCCTCACTGTTCTGTTGGATCAGCGTATTCCCTAGATTGTCAGCAGCTGATATTAGGAAGCAGTATTCCATAACTGTGATATAGGCACAGATGTTTGATTTTGAAGAAAGAATATTTTCCCCACACACCCTTGATGTCCAAAACATTAATATTATTTCATAACAGCTGAAAATGGGCAAAATCACGTTTTTTCTTATTTATAACCTTTCTTGTTGTTTGATCGCTAAGAGGATCCCTCCCTATAATTCTTGAAATAAACCAGACTTTATACTACAGTGTGGGTAGGTAGCTTGTTCCTTACAGCCCTCTGTATAAAAGAGAATCTCTTGTTCTCAGTCTTAAATGCGCTCCACCTTAATTTACATATTATGTACTTTAAGTCCTCATGAAAAGCTTTTTGGAAATGTGAATGTAGTGTAGCAGTCACCATTTTCCCACTGGATATCTGGCAGAGATGCACTTTGAGTGGGGTGGCTGTCTGTTCCAGAGAAGAGCTGAGAGTGGCAGAACGTTGAGCAGCACTTTGCCCTGGTAATGGGGATGGAGACAATCTGGCAAAGAGTTTTGGCAGTAAAGTGTATGAGCTGAATTTCTTAACAACTAAGGAAATGTTCACTCCTGGGTCTTTTTTTGTTCCTTAGAGTTTATGCAGTTCCTTTCAGGATTAGCCCACCTTACATTAGAAGAAAGCATCACAATTGTATTTTCTTCACTCCAGTGTTTCTTTTGAGTCTCAATAAACTTGTGCTACAGTACCATATGATAGGTATACTTGTATTATTTTCCTGATGTATCTTAATGAGAGCTATACTTTGTAAATTGACACTGACTATTCCTGATAAGGTTATTACTAGAAATATCTTCTATTTTAGTTCTTAATATTTCTTCATAACATTTGGCTCATCAAGGTCATCTAGTTTTAAGTCCTGTGGTTACACTTAGAACAAACCTTTCCTCAAGTTTAAATTAACTTGAAAATCTCTGGAAAGAGTCAATTTAGATTACCCAATCAACCCTTAATCTGCATTTCTTTGGGAGTGGACACTTGTGTAGGGTGAAGGATATTATTGATCCATGATCTGTGACTCTCATCTCAGAGACAGAGCTTTGCACATCTTTCAAAATCACTATTGGTTTCATAGTGTCATCCCTAAGTCCCGCTTGTCCAGTTGCTCAGTTTAGAAGGGTGGCCTGATATACTGTATGATACACATTCCACTTCTTAATGGTATATTTCACTGTACTCAAAGGGATAAGTAACCTTCTAATAAAACGACAAGGCATATTGTTATGTTAAGTATTAAGTGTTATTACACATTTCTAATAATCTTTATTGTTGCCTAGACCAGACAATAACCATAGTAGCTTCGGCCTCTGTGGCGAAGAAACACCATCTGAACTGCAACCCTGAGTCAGAGGTCATGATCAATTATCCAGACGATAACCAACCAAGGAGAAGCCTGACAGGTAGAAAACTAATTATTCCTGATGATGTCACAACCAATCAACAACCATAATTCCAAATTTAAAAATGACTGCACTGCACTGCTTATATTTCTTTATTTGGGTCTCTCAGTTGAAAGTTGAATGAAATCGTCAAGTTTAATTCCATGGGACTGCAGCCTCTTTTGTCCAAGTCAGGACAAAAAAAGATGTTGTGTATATTTAATATTGTGATGCCAAGGGGCCTCTGAGTGCTTGTGCAAGTTGACAAGATTGCTTTGTTTAGGTTAGGTGGCACTAGACATATGACATCCATTCCAAAGCCTATTGGTTGGACATTGGTCTTCTACATTTGCCAGCATTGTAATCATTGTAATCACCTGCAACCAATGAGATTTGACTCCCTAACGTAGGCACATTGAGCAAGACTTCCATCTCCTGCTGAAGAATACACAACACTCAAAAGTGGTACACTGGTGTCAAAGATAACAGAAGAGGACACACATTACAACAGATTAAACTGTCTAGAAAGACCTGGGAGGCAGCAAAGGTTGTTGAACTTTAGGGCAGGCTGTTGCTCTTTTTTCTGTGAACTTGGCACCACATCCAGCACAGTTTCATTGCAGAGTAACCCAACCTCACAAAGTCACACTACACACACCACTAGGGAATGTAGAAGTAGAGATGACCCTTTTCACGTTTGGCTGCCAGTGTTCTGCAGCAACCTGATGACAGCACTTGTCGAGATATTTACGGCAAGCTAGCAGCAAAGTGAGATTTTTATGACCATGTTCCAACAACAATCTACAGGGTCTGCAGTCCCTGTCGGGTTTGGTAGTAGACCCTATGTGATGCAGTAAGAGCTGGAGAAAACAGGAGGCATGGTATGGGAAAACACACAGGGCTTTAATGGTGCACAAAATAACAGTGACAGTCCATGAGCCAGTGAGCAGGGGAGACAAAGAATGGCATCCAAATCCGAGCAGGTCCAAAGGCAAGTCAGGGCACAGTCCACGAGTCCATCAACAATAAATCCATGCTCTGACGCGACAAGGTTAAAAGCCCCGGGAAGGGGGAAACACGAACACACGCAGAACATGGATGTCCTGGGATGACAGGGCGAGTTCCTCCTGACCCCGGGCTCAGAACACGGGAGGTGTCGGGGATGAGGTCTATGCCCTCAGGAGACGGACGTAGGGTTTCCTGGTGCTAGGTGGGCCTCACGACATCCGTACCCCAATGTTGAGCCCCGAATACTGGAGGAGCTAAACTTTAAATAACGGTAGACATAACAGGCTACACCTGGGGAACACAGCAACAATCACGGAACTAATGACAGGAGTAGTGGAGCTCCCTCTAGGGTAGGAATGTCGACCGTGACATGAGGACAGAGGTGTTCATTTCATGATGAGGAAGAACTTCCATTGAGCATACAGCACAGCGATGAATCAACTGGACACGACATTCTTTGTCCAAAATCTAATGCTTTCACCACTTATGTAGACTATTGAATTGGTGAAGATCAACAGTTTCTACCAAGCTTTGTCATTAGTTAAACAAGCTACCCTATAGAAGGTGCTTCATTAGTCTTCAGAATTTCCTAAGCTACCCCTGCACCCACAGACAAAAAAGGCATAAAATTTAATTGAATTCTTATCAAGATAAATGTTTTACACTATCCCTATCAAGCATGGAACCCAAGTGTATGATAAATGCGAACATTACAGTACTTTATGGCGTACGCAATACAGAGAAGCTTGGTATGTTCCTACTGCTTATGTTTTAGATAGAGGGAAAGTTGGCATCACCTGATCCATGAGGATTGTCAATTCTATGT